GAGAGAGAGAGAGACACACGCGCGAGGGGTCTCTCGATTCGCGGGAAGAAAGTGACGCACAAGCGCTTCTCCTCATCATCTACTTCTTTTCCGCACATGTTTTCTGAAACACTTCTTCATACACCCCCACATCATACGCGAAACCTCGGCCACGTTTTTCGGCCATTCGCCGCGTCCGGTACTCGGATAAAGAAAAGAACCTTTACTACAACTTGTCTTTTGTGACGCAACGATCGTACAGGAGATCCAGACGACCTGCGTGGACGTGTGCGAGAGCTGCCAGAAGAAAGTCTACCCCTTGGAGAAGGTCGAGACAAATAACAAAATTTTTCACAAGCAGTGCTTCCGGTGCCTCCAGTGCAATTGCGTCTTAAGGTAACGAAGAAAACGCGTGGCACGGCTGTGTGCGCTGTCGCACACGTCTGTTGTGTATCAAGAGCAATTATATACCTTGTCGCTTTCTCGAATTATTCATAATCGCCCTACGAAGGCGAAAATAACAGTAAATATTAAGAAGCGAACGGCAAAATGTTATCGTTGCGAGATAAATTACGTTCAGCGAGCACAACTGGGGTCAACGATCGTCGAGTAAAACTCATCTACAATTGGTGTGTACTCTTTCAAATTTCTATCAACCATATCCATCTTCCAAAAGCCGATCCGCTCAAGCCTCAATCATCACTCAACGCTCAATTGTGCTCGCTGGACGCAGCTATGAACGAGTCAGGGAAAAAGAAAGGGAAAGGGAAAGTCACGTTGTCGTTTGTTCGTTCAGAATGGACTCCTTCACGCTGAACAACGGCAAGCTCTACTGCATCCCGCACTTCAAGCAGCTCTTCATAACACGGGGCAATTACGACGAGGGCTTCGGCGTGGACCCGCACAAGAACAAATGGGCGACCACAAACTCCACCAACAATTCCACGAGCCCGTCGCCGATCGCGGTCTCGAACGGCGATCTCTGATTTTACAGGTTTCCACACTTTCCATCCCTCCCCCCTCCCCCGCCCACTCCCACCCAGCCACCTTGCACACTTGGTTTCAGTACGGCTTGGCTAATTGTTTGGCTCACGATGCAGTTCGGAAAGCAGCCGACGGTCCTCGAATGAGCGGGCTCGTTTTTGACGTTGATTCCCAGAAGTTGAGTCCCCTCATCGGATGATCGGCCGCGTTCCGAGCCGCATCGAGAGGGAAAAGTGCCCGGCCGAAGTATCGAAATCAGGTGTGCACGCATCGCTATTGAATCTTGGCCGAACTCACGGACGGATCAATGGACGGGGAAGTTCAAGGACGACTGAACTTCCACTTCGTATCGTTGCCACCCTGCGCGACTACGCGTGGTGGACATCGCATCGGCGTTCTCTCGCCGCGCGCGCGCACGCCGGCGAGACTTCATCATTTGTCTAAGGACTTCGAGATTCCCTTCCCGCGCGTCCCCCCTAGATCCGTCCGTGGTCGGGACGCGACGGTAATTATAACGGACTGTACATTTTTATTTTATTAGACCCCGCGAGAGAGAGGAGTACGCGTGACTGTATATTTAATCGGTATAATTCGGAGAATCAAACGTGTGCGTCGGATCCGTTCTCGTCTGACAGACCCGAGCGCGAATGCTTTCTCGTAGCGTAAATAATCTTGCCACAGACATGTTGAATAAATGTTCGAGGAAAGGAAAAAAAAAACAGGCGCTATCTTTTAATTGATATCGAATCGTTCGTGAATCGAAAGGGAGAGAGAGAACGAGAGAGAGAGAGAGTATACATTTTAAATTATAATTCGACGAAGCGATGAAAGTAACATTCTTTTAACGCGTGTAACTTCTAACACATCTTTTTTTCGTTCCACTGGCTGACGCGGATAATCGCGCACTCGAAGTGCGTGAGATGCGCATCGGACGCATCTGTTTGAGCGTTCGCGAATCGTCAGCGGGAAAACGACCTTGGAGCAAACAGATTGATCCGATGTAATTGTAACATGCTTCTAAGTTCTCTTACTTTTACTTTTAAATACTACTGTCATCGCGCTTACTACGAAACTCACTTGATATTTGTTACTATTATTATATTAATTTTATTATTATTATTATTATATTATTTTACGTGCACCGCATTTGGTATTATTTTATTATTATTATTATTATTATATATATGTTGTATAATACACACAATATTTCATTACGCTCTTCGTAAATCTGCTATCCGATCCTGTTCTCTCAATAAATAAGAATTTTCCATGCCTCTGCCAACTTACATTCCCGCGAGATGCGCGCACATCAATGAGCGACAGCTCAAGGAAATATCTGCCTCTGTCTATTAAATGTGATATATTTATGACATTTGTAGTGAAATTTGTATCGATTCGACTGACAGTAAAATTTGAACTCGATCGTAAACGGTCGAGCATTCAGTGAAAAAGAAATCTTTGTGAAATTCCGATGCCTCCTCAAGCATTATTGTAGCAAAAATTAATCATACTTTCAACCCATGCGAATAATTAATCCGTGCGAACGACAGAAAGGGAGAGAAGGAAATTCCTGTTACTCGAAAATAAAAAGTTCTTCTGATCATTCACCACTAATTCGTATTATTTGAAAATAAAAGTTGAAACGCATCGTGCATCGTGTGAGGATGCAAAGATTTGTCTTATCCGCCATTGTACTCTGATTTATGAGAAAAAACGCTAGCGACACGTAGCGGATACCTCGAAACCTATACTGACCTGACGATGAATTATACCGTGAAAAACTGAAATGCAAACGAAACGAGTTTCCAAGCGATGCCAACGAAGTACGTACGAATTGCCTATACGTACACACGAGTCATTCACATGCCCGATAAAATTTCCCAATGGAATCTAAAGTCCGTTTTCTGCTTTTGAAGCTTGCACTTTTTACCGTTAGAGTGAGACAAATATATAACTTAGCGTTGAAGAGAAAAGGAACGAAGTTCCGGTGCAGCCCTAGTTCGAGAACAGAAAGGAGACTAGTAACATCGAACTGATGAAACAGTCGTCGACATCGAGATAGGTCGAAAATAGGTCGAGGAGCTGATCGATCTGTAAATGAAGAGAAAAAAAATCGATCATCGAATCATCGTTTATCGCCCATCTGGCTGCAGCTACGACCAACTGCCGGCAGCCACAATCTCTCACAAGCTGGAAACGTTCTGCTCCATTGAAACAAGATTGTATCTTGAAAGAAATACACACACTATGTAACTTTATCATCAAAGGGGAGAGGGGGCCGATAAAATTGCGCAACGCCAAGCGTAATAACATCGGGTCACCGGAGTGCCTTATTCCACGACTCTGACCGAACGAGTTCACGCACAGTCATCCACACACTGATCCATATCTGCCCGTATCATCTGGCAAAGTGCAGCGGTTGATCGACCGAGGTAAGTGATCGAGCGGCAATCTGTCATTCGCTTTGCCGAATCAGGGTTGATTCTCACTATCTATCCACACTGCGGCGTATGAAAGTCCGTCAGTCCTACGTTGAAACATTCTTCGATGGTTTTATATCAGAGTAATCGTCGATGCTCGTCTTTGTTATATCTAGTTGGATGACGATGACAGAATTCCCGGAGAGAGAGTTTTGGCGGACGATGCGGAAACTAAAGTATAGCGTAAACAGAAATCACCTACTGTGTCACAATAAACACGTTCCAAGTATCAATAACGCGGGGTTATGGTTACGAATAATTATTTATTTCGCGGGAAGATAATAATGTCAACGAAACACGCGCATGTGAAATTTTCTTGACCTCTCGAGGAGCACTGATTTATAGCCAGCTCGCATTATTTAACCGACAAAAGTCACCGTATTTTCCGATACGTATGAAAAATGAGCATACAACAAAATAATGTTTGTAACATATAATTTTTTAATATTTTGAAAAAGCCAGCAAGCACTCCGGCCGGTGATTTGTCGTTTGTCTGACAATGGAATATTATTCAAAATTCACAAAGAGTTGACACACGCTTGCCGGCCGTTGTTTAAACGAATAGTGAGAATCAACATTTACAAAATATTTTTCTCCTTTTATAATGAAAAGCATTACCGTTCTTATCTACAGTCGATAATTGCTCGGAAGACTTTATCGTGCACCGGCCTGTTAGCGTGCTGCAATCTCTCACATCGATTCGCGCGTATAACACATTCTGTGCCACGTGTGCCATATGTGATGCAATTTCCGTTCTGGTCATGAGCGATTTTTCATTATTAAAAAACCGCCATAATCATAAAATATTTCATACTACTTATTTTCTTAAAAACATCATCTAATATGTGGTAAAAAAGTTTATAATATGTTTTGCTGTGTGGTTCATTGATAGCCACGTGAACTGAAGGTCGATTGTTGTTGATTATTTCAAAACGTCGTGAAAATGACAAATCGAGCAAATTCACTAGGCGTTGATCAACTAAATAGGTCATGAGCAGGACAGATTAAAAAAATCTCACCGTTGAATCATAAGTCGAGCCCGGAGATTTAAAAACTCGCCAGTTTTACCAGTCAACCGTTCCGCTTTGCAGATGGAGATCTGCGTCGACTCTTTGGAATCCGCGAGGGCCGCGATCTTAGGCGGTGCCATGCGACTGGAGGTCTGCTCGGCCCTCTCGGAGGGCGGTTTGACCCCGAGCCCGGGTCTGGTCGGACAGATAAGGAACTTCGGCAGGGTCCCGATTCGCGCCATGATCCGCGTTCGCAAGGGTAACTTCGTCTACAGTCGCGAAGAAGTCGAGGCGATGCTGCACGACATTAGAATCCTCAAGGACCACCATGTGGACGGATTCGTCTTCGGCGCGTTGACCTCCGACAGCCACGTCGACCAGGACGTGTGCTGGCAGGTCGTTTCCGCCGCTCGTCCATTGCCGGTTACGTTTCACCGCGCCTTCGACGAGACGACCGATCCGTTGAGGTCGATGGAGACTATCATCGGACTCGGCTTCGACAGGATCCTGACGTCGGGACAGAAGGACACCGCTCTCGAAGGACTGGAGATACTGAAGCATCTGGTGGAGAGGGCCGCCGGCAGGATAATAATCATGCCCGGGGCGGGGATCAGGTGGGAGAATATATCTAGGATCAAGCAATGCGGCGCCCGGGAATTTCACGCGTCCGCGAGGAAGAAGGTGTACGTTGGCCCGAACGCGCACAGGTTCGGCAAGGACGATTACATCGAAATAACCGACGGGGAATCAGTGAAGGCGATGGTGAACATCGTCAACGACGGAACGCCTGGCGAAGGATAAAAGGATTGAAATCGATTGTACGCGCTATCAGTACATAGTTATTTGTGCAAATTACTATGTCGAGGTAATGCCTGGCCTGATCCAGCCGACAGTTAAGACTAATGATAGCGCGCTGTTATAATTTTATCACAATGTACGCTATATTTTTCTATGAATAAATCTTCCGGACATAAACGTTACTCGGACAGGAATAATGGCTTGGTAACGAATGAGCCTTTATCGATCGCAGAATGTTCGTTGAATTTAACCGTCGAAGATCCCCGGCAATCGTCGAATACATTACGGAAAGTCGTAATAAATGTGTATCTAATTTTTCGCCCAGCAAAAACGAAGGAACCTTGAAATTCTTAAAATTCTTTTTAGAATCGATTTTTTCGTAAAATACCAATTAACCCTTTGCACTCGAGGGCTCCGGAGCGGAGCCATTTAAAATTTGTCTTCAAACTCGAGGGCTCCGCTATGGAGACAATGCAAATAGCAAGAGCGGAATATTCTATATACAATAGTTTTTACGATTTGTCTTTGTCCTTATGTTGTGAACTGAAAGTTATTTGCATTGTCTCCATAACGGAGCCCTCGAGTTTGAAAACAAATTTTAAATGGCTCCGCTCCGGAGTCCTCGAGTACAAAGGGTTAATGATGTCGTAATATCAATCTGCAATTTAAATTTTCTGCGTTTTCTCCGCCAAATTTCTCTTTCGAATCGTATTACGTATAATATTGTGAATTTTGGAGGACGCCTTATACTTATATCTTTCGTATATATATTATTATCTTATATGTTGATAAGCTTATCTGTACTGGTCCAAAAATTTCTCTTTTGCACGCATTATAATATCAGTGGCATTTGCGTACAGATGTAAGGCACAATGCAGGAGACGAGTGAGATCGAATGCACGGAATTGTTGGAAGTGTCATCCGAGAAAGTAATTTCTTTTTTCCTATTCTCATATCGCATGTTTCCTCAATAATTTTACTTTATCGTGAATCAAAATTCTCTCGAAATCGATAGATGAGATTTTTAACACGACGATATCTGTTGTCGATATAATTTTAGAACGGAGCGAAAATTGTATTCGCAACGGACGATTTCTTCGGTGTGGCTGAAAATCTGCTCAAGGTAAGTGGCATTGAATACTTGAACCACCATACTCATCAGAATGATAATTAATCATCTATATCGCACTATTAAATTATTTAATTGTTAACACGTAAAACGCATATATATCTAACTTCAATAAAGCCTTAACATTCATTAGATCAAAAAATTCATCTAAGTGATTTTATTCGTATTGCCTAAATATGATATATGATATCGTCTACATGTGATATATGATAAGATGTATATAAGAGTAAAAGCTGTTAAATAATTAACTGATTAGTCAAATAATTAACAGACAATGTATACACATATTTACAGATAATGCAAACCATTAAAAATTATTAATAAAATCTAATGAATGGCTAATAAAATTAAGATTTTATTGAAGCTTGGTATATATATAAATATGACATCAATTATATATATATGTGCACACACACACACATAATTTTTTCTATTATATTGCTATTGAATCGAGATTTATTCCAATCATGGCGCTGTTGACCAAATCTATCATACATGAGAGTATATTTTTCCATATATAAATAGATATAATTTATATATTTATATTAATTAAAGCAATTGCTATTCGACGAAGTTGAAGTACTACACAAATTAAATAGAAGACGTTCAGTGACCAGGACTATTTTCTAAATTAGGAAGAGGAACCTGTGTGGAAAGAGAACGAGTATACAAATTTCGGCAAGTGGATGGACGGATGGGAGACCCGGAGGAAACGAAAAACAGGAAACGATTATGTGATTATCGCGTTAGCAGCCGAGGCGCAGGTATCGCACGTTTGTATAGATACTTGTTTCTTCACTGGCAATTTTCCACCTAAGTTCTCTATAAGCGGTGACAAGCTGTCGACAGGTTCGTTAGAAACAATTTCCGTCTTTGTTGCCCGTTAAAGCAGAAAACGTTCTATACATACTGATTCGCAATGCCAACGTTTCAGATGTGTGGTGTCAAAATCGGACTTGTATATTAGGCGGCGAAGCGTCCGAGGATGACTATGAACGCATTTCTGCTTTTCACTCGGAGGTATTTCGAAAAAATTTAACAATTTTGTTCCTATAATTTACCTAATAATATTAACGATATTAATTATTATCCTTTATTTTATCTAATTTTGTCATATTAAAGCTACAGATTACAGACAAAGCTGACAAAAAAACTTTTGTAAATAACACCAGTATCAGAATAATCAGAGTAGATACTTTTTTTTATAGATTTCGGTCTAAAAATAAATAATTCGGATAAAAAACAATACCGTTGGCCAAATTGCTCCGTCGAGTTTTAAACGTTTGCTTCCATCAGTTTTTAAAGTTATTTAGAATTTAAAGCGGCCGGTAAAACAATTTTTTTCAGAATATAAAATATTCCTTTAAGTTTTTCAACATGATGAGAACGTCTTTGTTTAAATCTTTTTAAACAAGTCATATTTAAATTTGGACATTTTAATAATAAAAATCCGTTTAGCCGATAAATAATTTATCATACATTTTTTCCTATGAATCGCTGATTTTCATCTTAAATTCAAAATGATTTTAAATTTTAATGAGAAATAACTCATCGAATCGACATCAAGCCGATTTGATGTAATAATCTCGATTGTTTCGAAGTCGATTTGACATCAATTTACCGTCGATTCTATCGACATTTCTTGCCCTTGGTATGAGAGCGATTTAACCAGTGGTACTACTTTTTGTAATCCGAAATCTATCAGGAATATTTACTCTGATTCGAGTTACTAGAGAACCAAATTTTTTTCCTGTCGACTTATGTAATTGTCGCAATTTTAGAACTGGCCAGTCCTGATTCCCAAGCAGAGACTAGACGCCGGTTATCCGGACATGCGTAAGAAACTCTTCCGGGTATCTACAAGTAGAACGTTTACTCATCTGCGGCTTGACATCTTCCCGGACGGCGGTATCGCCAGGTTGCGCGTTTACGGCGTGTTGAAACAAGCAATACGATCGATTGGTAAAATGGACGCGAGTAACGATGCTTTCGTTACGAGCACGACATCGTTGGAATTCGACCTCGTCTCCAGAATAAATGACGGCGGCTGTGTGGACTACAGTAATGCTCACTATGGACATCCTAATAACATAATAAAACCCGGGAAGGCGACGAGCATGGCCGACGGATGGGAAACCGCGAGGCGTCACGATAGGTCTCTCATTGTTGAAGTAACGGCTGCGGACCCGCAGGTATGCAAAATCGTAAGGTATATAGGAAAAAAAAGCTCATTTGTATCAACATAAAAAATTACGTTGTATCAATGTAATTGATCAATTATGCCTTAATTGGGATAAATCTTGAGTCAATAGCAATATTATTTAAACTGATACTTCAGTTATATTAAAACCATATACGTGTCACGTAATGTATAGGTTTCAATAATATCGCTTTTAAATCAAGAAGATTTACTTCAACAATAACGTTGTTGGCCAATTTTTTTGATACTAAATAGCGTTTTTTTTGCATAAATTGCAAAATTGCGACAATCGATTCGAACTCGAAAACAGTAAATCAATTCCACAAATCCATTATGAACGCGGCGCTAACTCGGAGATCGAATCAAGTATAAATTACATACTTTGGCTCCTAAAGGCCTGTACATTTTTTCTTCCTTTAATTAGACCAAGTATAGGAACATGTCATAAGGAAGTTGTAAGGCGAAATAAGTTTCACAACACTTCGATGAAACTCGTATTACGTATACATTCGAATATTATCTAACTGCTCGTGCAATTAGAAAAAGATTGACTATTCGAGAGTTGAGATATTTTGCAACTAAAATTGTCGCTTTTTATGTTCTATGACGCTTTATATGTTTCTTGAGCATGTTCTTTGAGAGATTAGCGTACTATTTTTTATTTTTACTTTTAATATCTTGTAAACTAAAAATAAGATTTTCGAAAAATTACTGTGATATTAAGAAGACTAATATGCAGGCATAGGCACGTAGAAACACATATGCGTCACTCTTGCTTAGCAAAAAAAATTAGTACACCTTTTTCATAAATATTTGTAATGTCGAATAATAATGATTACGAATTGATAGACTGCGGATTTCAGATGCCTGGGCGCGAATGGGCAATATTTAAATTAGGACACGCCGGAGACGTTAAGTTCACCAACATCGTGATCGACACAGCGTACTTCAAAGGAAATTCTCCGTACAGCGTGAAAGTGGAGGGAGGCTATGCCTCCGCATCGAATTCAATTCCGTCACGGTGGAAAGTTATCATGCCTTTTCGAAGAGTACGTGAGATTTAATCACAACGTTGATTCGAGCGTTTTAAAACTCAATCCGTATGCGCTCGTTACGATCTGCATGTTTCTTGCAGATTAGGCCCAATTACGAGAACGAGTTTTCCGTCGAGAGAGAGTGGGACCACGTGTCTCATATAAAAGTGACAATTACGCCGGACGGCGGTTTGTCGAGGCTACGAATTTTCGGCAGACTGCGCAGATTCCAATCGGACATTCTAACCGACATTTCCGACTGAATTTCGTAAATCCGAAAAGGGGCCGACAAGCATTCTTCGCTTATCTCAATCTCTGTGTCTCAATGTTATTATGTGTTTCAGCAATGTCCTCAACTATCGTTTCGCGTCCTTGCGTCTCACAACTGCTTACTTCACATTTGCTACAGCTCTGATTACAATATAACGTAAATGCGAAAAAAGTCACAATGCTCGCGCTTATCGAGGTGAAAATTGGGAAAAGAAGTTGCCGATATTCCTCGCGCAATAATTTTAAAACTTTATTATTTACAGAAAAAAATTAAATAAGATGACTAGACATTTCCGGAGTCGAAATTTTGGCCTGAAATTTTGACCCTACATTGACCTGCAGATCCCGTCGAGCATGGAGAGTCATGGAAAAATCTCGAACTGTGATACTGCACAAGCTGTAATATTGTGCGATCCTGTCATTTCTCTTCCTGTTCTAAAGAAATATATTTGCGAGCTGGCCTCGAGTCGCGTTACATTTTTATGGCGAGGGATACAAACATCGAGAGAGAAAAATCTCCGTTACACGAGTTCACCTCTCCGAGCCGCGCGAGAGATTTCGACGATGGGTCGACGAGGAAAGCTAAGGCGCCAGTCGCCATAACGAATACCACACGCGTGACGTTCGTTTTCTTATATAAGATAAGAATATATTTTCTCATATAATAAGATAAAGTAGAAATGCCGTAAGCCGATCCTGTTACGTCACGTCCGAATAAAAATATCTTGCGTCCAAATTATTTATCATTACGAATAATTTAAAAAAAAAATAACATCACACGTTGAAAAAATATGAGGTAGATGACGTAAATAATATGAATTCATTGACATTTTCAATGTTTGTAACCAAGTAACAGAACAAGTAACAGGAACGAGTTATTTCGACTTAAAATCTAGAGGGGACTTTCCGGAGTGTGTGCAAAAAAACAAAAAGGTTAAAATTAACATTGTGTTATTTACTATTTACTGAATCGCATCCAAACTGTACACGTAGCGTATAGAGAATTTCCGCGCAATCGTTCGTAGAAAGAAAATCGACCGAGACGAGTGAATCGCTGCCAAACTCGCTGCGTCGTTAACTCGTCGTTAACCTTCTCGATTCGCTTCGCGATGTTCTTTCGCGCGTCGACCGATGCAGTTTATTCCACGCTGAGATTACGGACGCTCGCGATATCCGCGCGTTTATGGCGTTCACGCTGTACGTGAACTAAATCGATAACGCGATCAGGACGGCGCGAATCACGCGCGATTCGCTTGTCGAGGAATAATAAATCGTCGGCGATTCGAGCCGCGAGGAGGATATGCTCGCTCCAACCTGGCGTCTCGATCCTCCTTACTTTCGCAGCCGCCGATTTCGGCTGAGAATCAGCGGCGGAACGAGCTCGGATGCTCATTGTTGTCGAATTTAGTGGGCCACGCGGCAGGAAAGTGTGTCAAGTTTAACGGCATACGCACAGAGCAGCCGTCGAATAAAGTAGCAAGGACGCGAGCAGGAGAAGGAGCTCGTAACGTCGTGAAAACGCTTCTAAACTGATCTGCATAACTCGCGGAACGCAAAACGCGGTTCGCCGGGAGGCGCGAGATGACGATCAGTTTCTCGCGTTTGCTATTCTATTGTTATTCTATACATCGTCTACGTTTGTCACCTGCGTCTCTTGCATCCTGCGAGCTATGTAAACGGGACTTTAGATACGCAGAACGCAAAGTCGCAAGAAACGAACGCTGGCCGCGAGCAGATTTTGCGTCCACGTAATCCGCATAAACACGCAACAAGCAGATTTGCCAATGGAATAGAATAGAATGTCATAATTTACGTCCTGAGTGGCAGGAACATGGGATGCGAACGTTTAGATCCGCCTAAAACCCCGTCTAACCTTTTGCGCGGACCACGCGTAACCCTTTTTGCTTAACATATGCGTAGTTTGTTATTGATTTCTGCCGTTAACGAAAAACTCACCTGGGATAAATTAATCGCCACGATTACCAATAATCAATAATCTCATATTGGGCGCTTGATCATCTTATTACAGATGCGAACGAAACAACGGGATTAAAAAACGACCGTTTCATTGTCGAAAATACCTAAAATTGTGATGGAAAAAATATTTACGATTATCCGAGAATCAAGACGAATCATTCATTTTTTTTTTCATTCAGAAATTAATTAAGCGGAATGTCGTAGCTCTTTTTAGATTCCTCAAGGATCCTCGTCCGACGACCGTAAAACAACCAGGCATACGGAAGATCACGGTGCTGCAGGTAATGTACTTTCGTTTGCGACACACGCAATTCATGGCTTACAAATGTGTATGTGTGTGTGTGTATGTATGTATATATACTGGCGTATGGGTGTGCATGCATGGATATCCCCGATTCGAAACGAAAGCGCCTAATGTGACAGTGCGTACGCAATGTATACCCGTATAGGTACGTCGTAGAGCAGGTTTCACACACACACACACACATACACGAAGAGCGCACACGCATATACTCATAAATCGAGCATTAAATGCGGTGTGTACGTTTACGAAGTGCTCACTCACACACTGGCGTATTCATGCATAATTTACGCCGACGAACAGTTTTATTTGTTCATTTTCTTTACTCGCAACTCGATTACTGCACGTATATCAAAGCGACTTATAAATTAAACGGGATGATCTGCAAATATGATACGTCACGATCGATTTAGTGTGTATGTGTGTGCTTGTATTTTAATTGTTTCGTTAATATTATATATTTAATGCGCCCCCATAATATAAAGTCGAAAACCCGGTGAAATACAGTGTGTCCGGTTCAGCTGAATAATTAGCGATCAAAATAATCGTAAGCAGACAACCGTTAGCGAAATAACGTTCGAGAACAATTTTTCTGCGAGAGACGAAGTTTCCCAAAATATATAGACCGGCATAATAGCTTTGACATATGCAGTTTATGGGCTTTTTAGAGCGTGATATTTCTCAGGGGAGACTCTAAAATGATATAACATCAAGTGTTCGGGCGATCGTATTCGTTCTATGTCCGAAGTAATAACGTTGAAAGCAATTAGAGCGACTGAGGAATGTTTGCAAACGAAATATCCACGACACGGCGACTTGACAGAACGTTGAATTATTGAAGTTCCTGAACATTTAGCATAATAGAAATAACTCGAGCGGTTTCTCCGTCGTTCTCGTGTTCCTTTTCTTTTAATTATTCTTTGTCCTCGATCAATACCTCGATGCATTCGAACGACTTCAGCTTTAGCTTGCAGGGCGATTCATTCCAATTTATAAAGCCAACATCGGTGTATACGTCCTCTTCCTGCACGAAACCTCTAATAAACGCGTCGCACGAAACCGTCTTTCCTGTTGTCCTGCGAATTGATTGGACGCGCACACCGTCCCGAGGAACGTTGAACACAGCGACAAGAGTGAACCGATACTGTGACGTGATGATTGTCAATTCGAAGGCTACTGCGCGTATTACACCAGCCGATACATATAATTAAGATCTGTCGAGAAATCATGAATAAATCGGAGAAAAAGAAGGGGAAAGAAAAAGAAAACGAGTGTGGTCGTCATTCAGAATATCAGACGCACGCAAAAAGCGTTTATATAATTGTTTGATTGCAGATCAGGACACGCGGATCTGGGTCAGCATGCATCCTTGGCGATGCGTTCGACGCGCTCGGCAACGGAGGAATCGCTGCGGCGGCGGCTGGACGATCCTCGCCGCCATCGCCGCCAGTGAACGCGGTGAGTTTACACTTGCACGTATAACGATGCGACACAATTAAAACGTAACGCATTAGTTCAATAATGACGCGGAGGTTTACGCAAAGAAACCCACCCATGTGATAAAACGCACGACGGTAATTACCGATCGATAAGAAACGATAATCGCGTGACTACCGACTAAATGACGATTACGGGATCGATTCACTCTCTCCCATATCATCGTTGTTTTTCCCCCCCTTTCTCTTTCTCTCTCGCTTCGTCCGATCGAAATGAATCTCCTCGGAATTCCAGGCGAGCGAATAAGCTTCCCGCAACGCGTGAGAGCAGCCGAGAGAAGAAGCCTTCTGTTTCATTCTAACGAAAAAAAGTGCACACGCGCCGGTTTTTCAATTAAGAAGGACAGACGTAGGATATCGCGATGACGTCAATGAAAGCTTCGCTCGATTTATTACCTCACGGTATCCCGATAAATTGTTTATTCAATATACATATTTAAATACACAAATAATAGCAGAAGAAAAATACGAGGTGATATTTTTTCAGCGAAACGTGGTGTAATCTAAGACTGATCGGTTCAATTAACTGGTATGTTTTCCAAGCGAACTCCGCCATAACTCAACAAAATGATACCTTTTCTATACTTTTTTATATTGTTATGATGTCAGTTTCAATAATCGGTTTTGCATAATCAATGTAATATCTGTTAAATTTTCCATCTACCGGAAGTGATAACAATTACACTACACTATGTAACACAATTCTTGTTCTTGAATAACAAGTGTCATATCTCTTGAGTGCTTAACTATAAAAACTATAGAAAACTGCTGTTATTTCCTAAAAACTTTGCATTTGTGACGAGGACACAGTGATATTTTAAAATTTATATTTCTGAATATTCATTCTACTTATACACTATTATAGTGTACTATATTATATGTTACATTATACTATTATTATATATATATATATATATATATTCGTGCACCTGTGTCTATGTGTGTGTGTGTGTGCACGCACGGATCGTGGTGGTAGGCTCACGAGCGGACTGGCCGAGAGCCGGCTGCGTCTGTTTACGTCAGGTGAGCGCAGCGGCAAGACGTTGTGGGATACACCTTTCCCGTGCATTCCCGTGTACATACACGGCTGTCTCTGAGTGTGTCGGAGCGTGGACGTGTGCCGGCGCGCGCCCATATATGTGTTGCTCAACCAGCGGACTCGTCCGTTCAGTGCGGGAAACACGTTCAGACGGATCGGGCGTACACGCGTATCCGTCCG